CTCGGACCCGCCAAACTCACACGAGTTGGAGAACCACCTCGTGTGAAAGATAAAAAGGTTGCAATATGTATGTACATATGTACTGTAACGTATTCTTTTTCTTAATTCGACACCGATAGCGAAACACCGGAGATCGAACTATCTTCGAGAACCAACGTACGTTACCTTCGGCCGTTCATTCTTCGATCATGCATCCACAAGCCAGACGGGCGCCAGCCAATTCTCTTTTCACCGGGAACTGACGAGTCGGGATTAACTGGGAGTTGGGGTGGAACAGGCCCAACTTCACCAAAACGAGAGCTCTAACGGAACCTATCAGAAGAGACGATAACTTAACGGATCCTCTTGATTTTTGGGGTCGCGTAAAATCAGCAAACGCAACTGGATGCACGAACGGAAATGCGTGGCCGCTCATGCTGCTAGGTTGAGCTCGAGAGGGTCGGAGTAAGAGTCAGGCAAATAGTGCGAGAGACAGAGAGCGGCGAATCGAGAACGTAACAGAACGAATCTGAACTGTCAAATAGAAATCCCTTCACCAATTAATAAATTGGGAGTCCTCACCGGAGCTGGTGCAGCTGATCCCTGAAGGCCGAGCACTGCATCCAGGAGACACTCGGGTGGGCACTACACTAGAGCACAGCACTGCACTTTCGGAAGACTCACAGGAAATTCATAGAATTGCCTGGATATCGCGAGAGCAACGCGAGAACTAGACGAACGAGAACTTGCTACACCGTATAGAAAACACGGCTAGAAAAACTATAAACAGATAGCACGGGAGCGCGAGGTAGCACGTGACACCTCGGTCGGTGTCCCGAGACAGACTGCTTTGACAAAATAGTCAAATTTGAGAACTAATAATTCTGATTGGTCGAGATCCTTATAGCCGAGATATCTCTTCCATTTCCCTCGAGTCGTCCCTTTAAATCAAATCGACAGCGTTCCTTAGCGGATTGGTACGTAACACTTTTGGAGATCCTCCGCGGCCGCTTCCCCAGAGGATCGGGCAACAGCTGGGCACCACTTCCTTAACTCGGGTCAGGGGGTTCCTCCCCTGCCCCTAACCGTAACAAAACTCTCTCTCCGGCCGCTCTACAGCCCTTTGCCCATCATCAGCGGGGCGCCGGTGTTTCGCCCGGGCTTCCGCCGATTCGCGGAGACGTCTCCGTCGGGTCGTCTCCTCTGCCGGGCAACTCGGTACGTCGAGAATATCTCCCTGCGGCAGATTCGAGCACCTCGACCTCAACTAAACCATAATGAAATCTTCCGAGAGCCTTGACATAACTGTACGAATCAACCCGAGAGCGCAGCTTCTGAGCAGGGTGGCGACCCGAAGGGAACCAGAAATCGAGAACGTTACCCGTATCGGTAGCCGGAGCCGCCTTGTGACTGTGATTCGGAAATTCACGTCACAACCTATACTGGTGCGATCTTTACGCCGCTCGTTTTCGGACTGTCATTCGAAAAATCACGTCACCGTTTACCGTAAATAACCAAATTCAACAGTATTAAGCCCTTCACATACAAAATAACGTAACGAGACGTAAGACGTAAACGTAAGGAAACCAACCAATTAGAATCGATTACTGTTCCCTTGGGGGGGGGGGGGA